TTTTATAACTACTTTCCTTTTAAGTATTGGCTTTTCCATTTTTAATATTCTGGTTGTCATTTTTCAGTTTTCATTTGTACAGACTTGTTGCTATATATCCACTCAAGGTAGGATAAAGCAGTTTTCATAGTCTACACTGAGTGCAGATATCATGAATATTTGCTTAAAAATATATCTGTGGTGGTGGTACACAACTATGACTGTCAAAACTCAGAATTGTATACCAGAAAGAGTGAATTTTATTGTATATAAATGAAAAGTATTTAAAAAAATACAGAGGCTCCTGAGTGGCTAAGTTAGTTAAGTGTCTGACTGTTGATACTGGTTTAGGTCATGGTCTCAGGGCCATGAGATTGAGCCCTATATAAGGCTCCATGCTGTGTGTGGAGCCTGCTTAAGATTCTCTCTCTCTCTCTCTCTCTCTCTCTCTCTCTCTCTCTCTCTCCCTCCCCCCCCCCACCCCCCTCCCTGGCATGCATGTGCTCTCTCTCCAAAGGAAAAAAACCTAAAACAAAACAAAAACAAATATGGCAGGAAAATGGGGTTGAAAATGAGAGGTGGTAGACAACTAGGTACAGATTTGGCTACTTGCTTTGTTGGTATAAAACTTGGGAAATTTTTAATTGTTGGGGAAAAAAGATTTTTGTGCTTCAAAATTTAAGACTTTCTTGGTATTCAGAACACATTTGAAGGCAAAAATGAATCTTGGATATGTGTTTGCTGTTCTACGCTGAATTTGACAGTGGTTAGGTTGAAATTTTATGACTGGAGAGCAAAAATTTTGTTCACATACAGGTTTTTGACATCTATATATTGGTAAAAAAAATTAGCCATAGAAACGAGGGGATATGTATTTTCCTGCAAAGGAGTAAGTTTTATTGATTTCTTCTGATCTTTCTGTGTTAGCCACACTTTAAGAAAAGGAGCTAGAAGTTCCTTCACTTAAACTAAAAACCTTACTCATCTTCCTTTAAAAGTTTTGAGGCAACAGACTTGCCATGGTTTCTTGGATTAGGCTGTCTCAGTTTTCCCTAAAAGTCAGCTGTGGAAGTGGTTCCATTAATTTGGTAGTAGGGGAAGTTCTGAGTATAAAGTTAAAAGAAATGAAAATGTTGAGCTTTTATGAACAGAAATAAGAATCATTAAATCATAAACCAAAATTTATAAGCTGCATCACTAAAAATGGAACAACAGGATTCACCATAATTTTGATGCATATTTTTAAAAAGAAACTTCTCAAATAGTTTTTTCCCCTGGTTCGTTTTCAGAGCTATAATGTGATTATGACTTTGGGACGACTGTTTATTACTAAATTTTCCTGCGTGTGACATTTTCCTGTTTATTTTTGATGACACTGGATTGCCTTTCTCCATTTTCCTCAAAGTTTCTCTTTGCTTTGGGTGCCCTTTTTCCTCTGCATCCCAAATAGTTGATATTGTTTTTCTTCTTATTTATTTAATATACTTGGATAGGATTCTCTGGAAATATTAACCTTCAAGAATGAGTAAATTAGGTTTACTTTATTGAATGCTGCCCCCCCCCCCCGCTTTCCTGTTTCTACTGCCTTCTCCAAAATCTAGTTTTAGCATAGAATTTTTAGCTGAAATATGACAAAGAGCAGTGCAGATGATAAAATAGCAGGACTAAGGTAGGAGGACCATCAAAAGTTTTCCTTCTCTGTTCTAGAGTCAGAATTTTTAGTTACTTCACACCAACCCCAGTCTCTGTAGCCTGTTCTCTTCCCCATACTTTTCAAAGGTTTTATGACTTCTCATGTCACAAAAGATTGTTCAGAAAAATCAGCTCATCACATATTTTTGCCATATGACATTAAATTTGACAGAAATAACCTTTGCTTTAATTCCACATAAAATTGTATTATAATCTATAATACATATATCTCTCACAACTGAATATAAAACTATAAATTATTAGACTTGCAAACTCAGCTTATCTTTTAAATACTCTTTATCTTCAGGGCACCTGGGTGGCTCAGTTGGTTGAGGGTCCCAACTTCAGCTCAGGTCTTGATCTCACGGTTCATGAGTTCAAGCCCCATACCTGGCTCACTGCTGTCAGCCTGTCAATGCAGAGCCTGCTTCAGATCCTCTGGCTCCCTCTATCTGTGCTCTCCTTGCTCCCCAGATATTAAAAAAATATTATTTATCTTCTGTATTATAGCACCAATTGTGACTTTTTTTATATTAAACTTTTTTTAATGTTTATTTACTTTTGAGAGAGAGAGAGAGAGAGAGAGAGAGAGAGAGAGAGGGAGAGAACAAGTGGGGGAGGGGCAGAGACATAGGGAGACACAGAATCCCAAGCAGGCTCCAGGCCCCGAGCTGTCAGCACAGAGCCCAACACAGGGCTCGAACCCACAAGCTGTGAGATCATGACCTGAGGTGAAGTCTGATGCTCAACCTCCTGAGCCACCAAGGCTCCCCGCCCCCCCCCCCTTTTATTTAAGTTTATTTGTTTTGAGAGAGAGTGTGAGAGCTCACGAGAGGGGCAGAGAGAGAGAGACAGAGAGAGAGAATCCCAAGTAGGCTCTTCATGGTCAGCATGGAGCCTGATGCGGGGCTTGAACTACAGAACCACACCAAAACCATGAGTCAGATGCTTAACCGACTGAATCACCCAGGCGTCCCTCTGATTGTGACTCTTAAAATTACTGTTAAAAATTATTTAATTATTTATTATAAGGATTATTATTAGGCCCTATTCTGTTTATTAGTTTGGTGGTAATGTGACATATATATGTGTTCCTCAGTAAGCTGAACGAGGACATATTTAGCACTGTATTTGGTTTTAAAACTTTAGGGATAGAAGTTTTAAGATGTCCATTTTAAAATAATAAAACTTGAACTGAGAAATGGTATTCTCTAGACCAGGGATCTCGAAATTTTTTATTTTCAGGACCCCACTTTACAGTCTTAAAAACTGAGGATCCCAGGAGCTTTTGTTTACATATGTACTTTATATAGCCATTTATTGTATTGGAAATTAAAACAAAAATTTTAAGATACTCATTTAAAATAACAATCATAAACCTGTTATATGTTAACATAATTTGTGAAAAATAACATTTTCTAAATAAGTTGTGAGAAAATTGGCATTGCTTTACATATTTATAGATCTTTTTTTAATTAAAAAAATTGTTTTTAGTGTTTATTTTTGAAAGAGAGAGAACATGAGCTGGGGAGGGGCAGAGAGAGAGGGAGACGCAGAATCTGAAACAGGCTCCGGGCTCTGAGCTGTCAGCACAGAGCCCGAGGCGGGGCTCGAACCCAGGAACCGTGAGATCATGACCTGAGCTGAAGTCGGATGCTCAACCGACTGAGCCACCCGGGCGCCCCTACATATTTATAGATCCCTTGAATGAATTGCTGTTTAATAGATTACAAATAAAGTCTTTTATCTGTCCCTTCATTACACCTGTTAGAATAAGTTATGGGTTTTTTCTTTTTTTTTTTGAAATATACAAAGATCATAATCTGACCTTGCACAGATACGTAGTTGGTGAAGGGAAGAATATTTTAATAGCCTTTTCTGATAATTACGGATCTTCTTTGATACTTTGCTAAAGCTCAACAACTGGTAGTTTCTTAAATGTTGCAATATGGAATCTGAAATCATATTTTTCAACGTATTGGTCTTTTGATCTTTTATCCAAGCACGATTTATAACATGCGTTAATCATTTGAACAAATTAGTTTATTGTATTATGCAGATCTCCAAATAACATATTTCATTATACAATAATGAAAATGTTCACTCAAAAACTTAATTTTTATCATTGGCAAGAAATACTATCATTTATTTTTCTTGAAGGGCTTATTTTGTTCATTTTCAAGAAAATGTCTGCTTTTACCTAAGTCTAAATAGCCAGTTTGCCATTCATTCTTTCAAGTAAAAATGGTGTTCCACAAAAAAAGCAGCTGGTTCAGATTGTGACTCAATCATGTAACTAACTGCTTTTTCTCCAGACAGTATCTGTTGGATGCAGCAGAAATTCTTTACTTCCTATTTTGTCACCCAAAATATTAAACAAGCACATACACAAGGATCAAGATTTAATAAAATGAATAATTGTTGCTGCTTCATAAAGAACATTCTTAAATGAAATTGGCTACCCCCACTTAGACTGTGGGTGTGTGGTAATGAAGGATTCAGTAACTTGTACCTTTTGCCTTGTTTGATTCCTGCTGAGGCTTTAGCAGTGTCTCCTCACCATTGCTTTTACGGTGCATTTGTCAACATGGTGCCCAAAGCAAATATGTTCTCAATATTATTGTGAATAAAGTATTGACCTTCATGAATGACTTGAAGGAGTCTTAGGGACATCAGATTTCTGTCTACATTTTGAGAATTGATGCTCTAGAAGGTTCTGGTGGTTTAAAAAAAAACTCATTTAATTTTCTGAAGAATTAATTGCAACTCTTGCCTTATGCTTTTACTTAGGATTTTAATAATTGTAATCTTGCATTTGAAATAGAAAAATATGCTAGTTTTTAATAAAAGCCTGCACGAGAGTGCATGCTTGAATTTGTATTTCTGTGCTTCTTTCTTTTGAATAGCATACCATTTTATAATTGTGGGCCCAGACTAAAGAGCTCATTCTATTCAGACACTGAGTAGCTTTGTTTCTGACAGCTAGTAGTCAGCTCTCTGTTTTAAAACAATCAGTTGGGTCCTGCTGGCTCAACTTGCAGTTGTCCTAGACCTAACCCTATCTCAGCCAAAGACTGTTGTTGGAAAGCCCACACAAAGACCTTGTGTACAGGGAGCCCTGCTAATAAGGAGTGTGTTCTAGTCCCAGCAGATTAAATCTGCTTTGGTGTGCATTCCCTTCCCAAATTTCTCACTTATTTCCTTTGTTTGCCTGGTTATTTCAGTGAGAGATCATTTTTAATGCCTGTAAAGATAATTTCTGATTAGTAGATAGTCTGAATGGAGGGGATTACTGGAGTAAAATGTTTCTTTCTTTATGGTAGGATGTGATGGAGCTGCTTGAAGAAGATCTCACGTGCCCAATTTGTTGCAGTCTGTTTGATGATCCTCGAGTTTTGCCTTGCTCGCATAACTTTTGCAAAAAATGCTTAGAAGGGATCTTAGAGGGGACCGTGCGGAATTCGTTGTGGAGATCATCTCCATTCAAGTGCCCTACATGCCGTAAGGAAACTTCAGCTACTGGAGTCAATAGCCTGCAGGTCAATTACTCCCTGAAGGGTATTGTGGAAAAGTATAACAAGATCAAGATCTCTCCCAAAATGCCTGTGTGCAAAGGACACTTGGGGCAACCCCTCAACATTTTCTGCCTGACTGATATGCAACTGATTTGCGGGATCTGTGCTACTCGTGGTGACCACACCAAGCATGTCTTCTGTTCTATTGAAGATGCCTATGCTCAGGAAAGAGATGCCTTTGAGTCCCTCTTCCAGAGCTTTGAGACCTGGCGTCGGGGAGATGCTCTTTCTCGCTTGGATACCTTGGAAACTAGCAAAAGGAAATCTCTACAGTTACTGACTAAAGATTCAGATAAAGTGAAGGAGTTTTTTGAGAAGTTACAACATACATTAGATCAAAAGAAGAATGAAATCCTGTCTGACTTTGAGACCATGAAACTGGCAGTTATGCAAGCCTATGACCCAGAGATCAACAAACTCAACACCATCTTGCAGGAACAACGAATGGCCTTTAACATTGCTGAGGCTTTCAAAGACGTGTCAGAACCCATCATATTTCTGCAACAGATGCAGGAGTTCAGGGAGAAAATAAAAGTAATCAAGGAAACTCCTTTACCTCCCTCGAATTTGCCCACAAGCCCTTTAATGAAGAACTTTGATACCAGTCAGTGGGAAGACATAAAACTAGTAGATGTGGATAAACTTTCTTTGCCTCAAGATGCTGGCACGTTCGTTAGTAAGATTCCCTGGAGCTTTTCTCAGTTATTTGTGGTAGTCATTCTGCTCAGCCTTCTCATTTTCTTTGGTCCCACCATATTCCTAGAAGGGTCTTTATTTGATGAATTCACAACTTGGAAAGACTGCCTCTCCAACTTCAATTCCTATCTGGCTAAATCAGCTGATTTTGTAGAACAATCAGTGTTTTATTGGGAACAGGTGACAGATGGATTTTTCATTTTCAGTGAAAGATTTAAGAATTTTACTTTGGTGGTGCTGAACAATGTAGCAGAATTTGTGTGCAAATATAAACTATTATAAAATCTGTTGCAACTATTTAGTTCTCTGTCTTTTGTTAGAAATTTGTTAAAGAGCTGAGTGGTAGTTCAGATTTGGTCAAGATTTCAATGAAGTATTTCCCTGCCCAAAGTATTCCTTTCAAAAATAATGTCCCATATATGTTGTTCAAATGAGTTAGCATAAAGGTAAATGTGAAATTTAATAGTACAGTCCTGAACCCTCCTTCCTTTTTAAAGAGTGCTTTTGAAATACACCTCCTACCTCCAATATCAGTTGTGTTGATGCTGTGGAAAAAGGGGAGGTGAAAGTGCATGATCTAATGTTGTATTAATGAGGTAGTATAAACAGTGATTGTTCATTTAAGCATGTAATAAAGACTACTCGTGTAAAGCAACTCTTTTTGAGACTGAACATTCTTTTAAAAAAGGAAAAGATATGAGTGGAATGGATTTCCAAATTTTTCTAGATTTGGATTTCTAAATTTTAGTTTTTTGCTAAAATGTAAATCTCAGGTAAACAAAAGGTGGCATTTTCTTGGGATCAGTTTACGTTTTTAGGAGGGTGATGATTTCAGCTTGCCTTGTTCTCCTTAGGTTTTGTAAATTCCTTTGGTGATAAACTACAGAAGTGTTAGGTGGCTGTGGTAGGTACAAAAAAAAGTCTAACACATGGCAAGAACAGGAAATGGGAAAGCCTTTTTACTGGCAGCCAAGTGTTGTGTTGTTGTTCCCAAGTATCATGGCAACAGGACAACTAAACCAATCCACTTGCTTAGTATCTTTTTGAAGAGTAGTAAGATTAATTTGCCAATAGATGGAGGAGTCTGTCAGTTATTATAAAGTGCAAAGTAATCAGCTAAACACTAATTTTGCCCTATCTGCTTACATGAGATAAAGATGCCCTATCATCTCCCACAGAATAAAAATACTTAATTTTCTCCTCTTGCTTACAATTCAGATGAAGACAAGAACTGCTCATCTTAGAACTCATCTTAGAACTGCTCTCGAGTCTACCTTATTTCTGTCATGAAACAACATTCTTTGGAAAGCAGAGTGTCTTTACCCTTTTATTTTTTTAAGTTTATTTATTTTGAGAGAGAAAGAGTGTGCATGCAGGGGAGGGGTAAAGAGAGAGGGGGAGAGGGAATCCCAAGCAGGCTCTGTGTTGTCAGCCCAACATGAGGTTCCATCCTATGAACCATGAGATCATGATCTGAACCGAAATAAAGAGTTGGATGCTTAACTGACTGAGCCACCGAGGCACCCCTACCCTGTCTTTTAATTTGGTTGAGAGAAGGTAACACAAGTGGGGACAAGAAAAAAAAAAAGGGCCAACTAACTTGAAAGTACAGAAGAATCCAGCTATGAGGAAAAGAGTCAAATTAAGCTGCTGGTTGAGGTAATGGCTGCCTCAACCATAACTGACAATGCATGATTTAGCCAAAATTGCTAAAGGGTTCATAAATTATAAAAATGTTTCACTGTAAATCTTACCTCTGCTATGAGGACTCATCATAGATAAGTGGTCCGGGGAACCCGGCAGGGGTTGCTTTTCTGCTCCCAGTGTATATATGTGTGTATGTATGTATGTGTATACGTGTGTGTGTGTGTGTTTAAATAGAGATTTACAACAGGTTTTCATGGAGAATTTTTTATGCAATACAGGAACAGGATCCATTTAACATCTAACCTTGGAAATATTGGCAGTTTAAAAAAAATTTTTTTAATGTTTATTTATTTTTTTTTTAATTTTTTTTTTTTTTTCCAAACGTTTATTTATTTTTGGGACAGAGAGAGACAGAGCATGAACGGGGGAGGGGCAGAGAGAGAGGGAGACACAGAATCGGAAACAGGCTCCAGGCTCTGAGCCATCAGCCCAGAGCCCGACGCGGGGCTCGAACTCTCGGACCGCGAGATCGTGACCTGGCTGAAGTCGGACGCTTAACCGACTGCGCCACCCAGGCGCCCCTTAATGTTTATTTTTGAGAGACAGAGACAGAGTGCAAGTGGGGGGAGGGGCAGAGAGAGAAGGAGACACAGAATCTGAAGCAGGCTCCAGGCTCCAAGCTGTCAGCACAGAGCCCGATGTGGGGTTTGAACTCATGAACTGTGAGATTGTGACCTGAGCTAAAGTTGGACGCTTAACTGAGCCAACCACGCTCCCCAAGGCAGTTTTTCTTAAACAATTCAGTACCTCAACTGCTGCTTTTTCATTTTGTATACTGCAAGTTCCCAAGCAACTCAAATTTGCAAACACAGCTATGGATACAATATTTGCTTTACAGTAGTTACCTGGGAATCTAGGTCTCTGTTTTTTTGTTATTTTCCCCTCCCCTCCATTTCTTGATCATATATAACTAGCAACACTTATGGTTAGAAGTTGATTTACAAGTTTCTAAGTCTGTGGCTGATGGTTTGTAGCCTCTAGTTTGAAGCAAGAAAAGAATGAGTAGTCAGGAACTAGTCACTTTGAATGTGGGAGGGAAGATATTCACAACAAGATTTTCTACCATAAAGCAGTTTCCTGCCTCTCGGTTGACAAGAATGATAGATGGCAGAGACCAAGAATTCAAGATGGTTGGTGGCCAGATTTTTGTGGACAGAGATGGTGTTTTATTTAGTTTCATCTTAGATTTTTTGAGAACTCACCAGCTTTTATTACCCACTGACTTTTCAGACTATCATAGGCTTCAGAGAGAGGCTCTTTTCTATGAACTGGATCCTCTGATTGATCTCTTAAACCAAGAACACTTGCTACAGCCAAGACCTGCTTTTTTGGAGGTGCATTTCCTAAGCCGAAACACTCAAGCTTTTTTCAGGGTATTTGGCTCTTGCAGCAAAACAATTGAGATGCTAACTGGGAGGATTACAGTGTTTATAGAGCAACCTTCAGCAATGACCTGGAGTAGTAACTCTTTCCCTCCTCAGATGACTTTACTTCCACTGCCTCCACAAAGACCTTCTTACCACGACCTGATTTTCCAGTGTGGCTCTGAGAGCACTACTGATAACCAAACTGGAGTCAGGTATTTTGTATTTTGAAGCATCTCTCTTCTATACTAGTTCCTTTCCCCCTCAAACTGAAAGTTTCTCACGCCTGAAACTTTTCTTAGAAAAAATGATTACTCAAATGTTTTGGGGTAACTGGTAGAGTTGGGTAGAGTGATCAGATAATTGTCCAAACCGGGCTACTTTTCAGAGTGAAAGGAGGCATTGTTACAATGTGGGACAAAAGGAATAAACCAAGACTGTCCAGGGAAAACTGGGACTATGGTCATTTAAGTTCTAAGAGGAAATAATTTTATACATTATGTTCCATTGCTAATGATCATTAATTTGGCTTAGGACCGAGAAGGCCTTTTTTCCCCCCAAGAGATTCTTTTAGTGGCTGGTATATGGTAAAGTTTCAGTTTCTCCTGACTTCCTTACAGTCTATGTATATTTGTTCTTTCAGTCCTTATGATCTGACTACTGATTTTCCTCCACCCCACTTTATTTTTAAACACCATTAAGGCAGATATATCCCAGAGCAAATTTGGTATCCTATTACATCTTTGGCACTCTTAGGCAACTCAAAATATTGGGATAGGCTGTCAGTATGTTAAGGATAGTTGCTTCTGAGTCAATTATTCACTTTCTCTCCTTGTTGTTCTTGGCTGGGCACTAAGGCTGATTTCCACTCTGCTGTCAGGGACACATTTTTTTTCTCCTTAAAAATGTCTTAATGCTGTCCCACCATTATTTTACTAACTGTGAAAGCTGGCTTTAATTTTCAGGAGGAAAAAAAGTAGTCTGTATATGTTCTTTACTGATAACTATTTAAGCTTTTTTTTTTTTTTTTTTTTTTTGTGGGGAGAAAAGGTAGACATAATTTGGGATATTTTCTTCAGCAGTAGCCATTGGGAACTATCAATGTTTGCCTCTCCCACAGTACACCCCGTGGTCCTACTTACTAACTGGAGAACACTGGGCAATACAACTCTTAACTTTTTACACTTAATAATTTCCTGCCCTCCTAGAAAGACTGAAATGTCATTTTGGGAAAAGAGGGCCAATTAGATTAATGGGCTGATTATGAGGAGAACATAAGACCCTATCTTTAGCTCGAAGCATTTTAAGGTGTCTCTGTGTCCAACTCTCTTTTCGCTGGTGGAGCACCAACATGGATAGAAGGGAAAACTACCAGCTTTTTGTTTTCTAAATTTGATCTAATAATTAACAACTTAAAAAAAATCTTTTTTAATGTTTATTTGTTTAATGTTTATTTGTTTTATTTGTTTCGAACTCACGAATTGTGAGATCATGACTTGAGCCAAAGTCGGACGCTCAACCGAGCCACCCAGGCACCCCAATGATTAAGATCTTTGAGGATCCTTTTTTAAAAAAAACAGGGGCGCCTGGGTGGCTCAGCTGGTTGAGCGTCTGACTTCGGCTCAAGTCATGACCTCACGGTTTGTGAGTTCAAGCCCTACATCCGGCTCTGTGCTGACAGCTTGGTGCCTGGAGCCTTCTCGGGATTCTGTGTCTCCTTCTCTCTCTGCCTCTCCCCTGCTTGCACTCTGTCTCTCTCTCAAGAATAAATAAACCTTAAAAAATTTTTTTTAAAAATAAAAAAATAAATTAAAAAAATGTTAGAAGCCTAAGGTAAATTGGTGTAATTTTAAGAAGAAATATGCAAAGTAAACTGAACACTTTAAAACCTATGCATTTTAAAATTAAAACAAGACTAAAAACTAAAGTTGGAATATTCTTGTATGTACAGTGCCAAGTGACTTTACCTTTGTTGTTTGTGTTCAGAAACGGTACAAAAATTTTTCATCTTAATATAAGAATGGCATTATGTTTAAACTTCCCAAATAGAGAATTCCAAAACCAGAAGCTATTTTAATAATTAAAATTTTCATCACCAAACAGTATTTTTGTTCAGTTGCCTGAAGTTCAGAATTTTTTTCCACCCAGTAAGTGTTTGTGATTTTTTTTCTGTCATGCCAGTTTCAAAGTAGGGATGGGTAACCTAGTAAGGGGGCATTATTGGGATTTCAGGGGATTGGATGAAAACTCTGGCCCTGAAAGGCCCACCTTAGGTATACAACTGCCTGGCTAGCAATCATTTTTATTTCTTGTTCACTTCCTGTTCTGAGCTGTTCATTCAGATGTTTTTTGAAGGTGGAAAGTGGAGGACTAAGCCTGGACGGCTCCTAAGAGTCTGCTGTACCATGGGGCTGTTTAGGATGTCCCACTACTATGATTTACTACTCTGCGATCTTATTAACCTAGCAGATTGTTCAGTTATTATCTCTCAAGTTCATAGTATGAGAAATACTTGGCTTGCATCTTGCAGAAGGCCATTCATATGATACCACATTATTAAGCTCAAGTTATGGTCACAGGATTCTAAAGTCTCTTTGGTAGCCTTTATTCTATCTGACCTTTCCTTTTTAAACTGGATCAAATGGGAAAATATAGCTGCCTTTTAAGTTTTTAAAATAAGTTTTGATTTTCTATTTCTCAGTGGGTTCTTCTATCCTTTTCTTCCGCTTTATAATCTTTCATTTCTTAATTTGACCTCGTAGGGAATCAAGTACTGTGGCTCAGTGATTTCTTCCAAGTGTTTGTTATCACTTACTATATACTATTTGTGTCTTAATTTTTTGAGATGTGCTGTAACTTTTCTTCTCTTTGACAAATGTTTCTAGGCTACATAATGAAAACCTGGGTCTTTGGAGTAGATGGAATGATTTCCCAATGTTAAAAATCTGGTGTATCAAACGTAATAAACATTTTCTGATCTGTATTTTGTGCTTTTATAAATCTTACGTTTTATTATTTTCTTTGCCTAGAATTGATTTCTAAATGTGAGCTACAGTAACCACTCAATTTTAATCATAATTAAAGGAGGCTAAGGATGTCCTAAAGGCTCTTTTTATGCTATAAAATGACAGAGAAACTTCCACTAATGTGTGGAAGTAATTTAAGTTAGGCTTTTCTTCACATCTCATAAACAAATGGTGAGAGGACTCAAAGACATAAAAATATCCTTGATAGTAGATAAAGGAGTAATATAGCTGTATCTATGTGGGCATGTTATGTTGACATTATTAAAGCCAATTTATAGCAAGTCTGAAAAATTCAGGTATATTTTTCTTGAACTATGTGTATTGGTTCTATCAAGTATCCCAGGAAATAGAGTTTTGTCATTTTGATTCCAGATTGTATATAGCCTTTTGATCCTGTGCTTTGCTCTTTAATAATGGATAGTTATTGAGTAAAAATTGATGATTAAATATTGACATTTTTTATATGCAAAATTGTACCTCAGAAAATACTTTTGACAGAAATAAGTCACAAAAGAAAACATTTGTAATATCAGTGCTAATAATGGGTAGAATTAGATTTAGGAGGAAAGCTGTAAATGCATAAAATGTTCATTAAAATGATTGAATTAGGGGCACCTGGGTGGCTTAGTCACTTGAGCATCTGACTTTTGTTTTTGGCTAGGGTCATGATCCCAGGATTGTGGGATCAAGCCTCATGGCGGCCTCCGTGCTGAACATGGAGACTGCTTAAGACTCTCTCTCTCCCTCTCTCACTGCCCCCTCAATCTCTAAAATAAAAAAAATTAAAAAAAATTTTTTTTAATGTTTGAGAGAGACAGAATGTGAGCGGGGAAGATGTAGAGAGAAAGAGAAGAGACACAGAATCTGAAGCAGGTTTCAGGATCTGAGCTGTCAGCACAAAGCCCGACGCGGGGCCCAAACTCACAACTGAGATCATGACCAGAGCTGAAGTCACAGACACTTAACCAACTGAGTCACCCGGGCTCCTCTAAAAAAAATTTTTTTTAATGATTGAATCAATTAATTTAGTTAAGCCGATTAAAACAATATTTAGTAATTTGAAAAAAATTGGAAATAAATTACATATATAAAAAATTAAGCTAATTTTTTTGATCAAATTGCTTGCTCCAGAAAATAATTTCTCAATGAAAATTCATCAATGTTGGTTATATTCCTAAATGTAGAATTAAAATGACTGTGGGGATCACAGGAAAGTCTCTATTTTCAGTACCCTGACAAAAAGCTATTGATTTGGATTTATAAATGAAATCGCAAAAAAAATTCTGATAAAAATGGTATGATGCCTTTGTCTGAGATTATAAGCCAAATTTATGTGTTTAGTTTTGCTAGTTATTAAAAGGATCCTTTATAACCAAATATTTGTTGTGTGTCCTAGGTATGTTTCTATAAAACCTGATAATCGAAAATTGGCCAATGGAACTAACGTCCTCGGCTTACTAATCGACACTTTATTAATGGAAGGCTTCCATCTAGTCAGTGCTAGAACATTATCTTCTGAAGACAAAACTGAATGCTATAGCTTTGAAAGGATAAAAAGGCCTGAAGCTTTCACCATGAACAAAACACTGAAACCAGAGACTACCATCATATCAGAGCAATCTCAGAAAAAAAAGTGAGATTCTCTATTCTCTTTTAGAGTGAAGAGAATTGTCATTTTCTTGTTTGGAAATTCTGTATTTATGGCATATATGTTAGTCAAATATGTACTCAGCTTAACTTGTGGCCTTGTCTCCTAGCATGCCTCCTCTGGCAACCATACATCAATCGTGTTTAGGCCATACTAACTGCTTGTTCTCTAAGTAACAACATGCACTTGGTCCTTTGGCACATGTTTCTTCTACCTTCAATGTGTCTTTCCCTTTCTTTTCTTCATGAACACTTACACAGCTTTCAAGAGTGTGTTCTGGAATCAGAATGCTTGATTTCTAATCCCAACTCAATCAATTACTAGCTATACAACTTGGGCAAGTTATTTAAGTTGTCTGTGCCTCAACTTCTTTATCACATGGGGATAATATATCTCCCTTGTAGGATATGTGAAAATAAAAGGAAATAACGTATTGAACACATCTGGTACCTGGTAGGCACCAAGTCACTGTTGGTGATGGTGATGGTGATGGTGATGATGATGAAGAAGAAGAAGAAGAAGAAGAAGAAGAAGAAGAAGAAGAAGAAAAGAAGAAGAAGAAAAAAGAAGAAGAAGAAGAAGAAGAAGAAGAAAAAGGAGAAGGAGAAGGAGGAGGAAGAGGAAGAGGAGGAGGAAGAAGGGAGGGAGGAGGCAGGAGAAGATGATTGGTGGCCCACTTTCAATTGTACCTCTTCTCTGTGGCCTTGTTTCCCTCCTTTCCCAGGCATATTAATCAGTCTTTTCCTCTGTATAGACTTATAGGCCATCATAAAAACCAATTTTTTTTCCACTTGAATGTGAGCTCAATCACTCAACAATTTTAACACTACTATGTGTAAAGCACTGACAAACATATGGTGAGAGGAATAATAACTTTGTTATTAATTAACACCTACATTTGGTGAAAAGCTTCTGAAAACCTCTACTAACATTTAAAATACACATATACTTTGGTTTGGTGATTCCTTTTGTAGGAATTCCTCATTTATATGTGTCATTTTGCACACTAGGATAAACATCTAGAAGAGGAAACGTTAAATCAAAGAGTATCAAGCACACAGTAGGGTTAAAACCTGCCTGGAAGCAGTTAAGTATCATTTTAAAAAGTAAAATTAATTCATTCAAAAACATATATTAAACATTTGTTAGACACCATACTAAGTTATTAAGATTAAAAAATGAGTAAGACAAAAATCCTTATTCTCAGCTCACATTCAAGGGAGAAAGGACATCATTGTAACAGCAAAAGATGAGAAATAAACTCAAAGCTGATCAACAGGGGATGGGTAAATTATGGTTCATACAGTGAAATACTATGTAGTCCTTAAGGATGGGGCAAGAGTTTATAAACTAGGGAAAGAATGTCAAATATTTCTAAGTGGAAAAAAAGCAAGGTGTAGAACAACATATAAAGTGGGAAAATACTTCCACTATATATATATA